TCCATGGCATATGTTGGTCATTCATTTGATAGTGTTGTGTCCTTGCATAAAACTAGTCATATTGATAATTGTAGACATTGCCATGTGTTTACAATCCATGGCATATGTTGGTCATTCATTTGATAGTGTTGTACCCTTGCATAAAACTAGTTATATTGATAATTGTAGACTTTGCCATGTGTTTACAATCCATGGCATATGTTGGTCATTCATTTGATAGTGTTGTGTCCTTGCATAAAACTAGTCATATTGATAATTGTAGACATTGCCATGTGTTTACAATCCATGGCATATGTTGGTCATTCATTTGATAGTGTTGTACCCTTGCATAAAACTAGTCATATTGATAATTGTAGACATTGCCATGTGTTTACAATCCATGGCATATGTTGGTCATTCATTTGATAGTGTTGTACCCTTGCATAAAACTAGTCATATTGATAATTGTAGACTTTGCCATGTGTTTACAATCCATGGCATATGTTGGTCATTCATTTGGTACTACTAGTTTCTTGCAGGAGCGAGTTCTAAACGTAATTTTATTTACTGTATATTAATTAGGGAACTTGATGCATTACAAATATTCTAATCAGGTCTGTACATTAATACAATACATCTGTATACCAAGGTTCATCGAAATATGTTGTACAGCTCTTGAAAAATCGGCTCATAATTATGCAAATAAAATCATTAATACGAATACGTCAACCCAAAACTAATCAGGTCTGAGCAATATCCCATAGTATCCATAAAGTTTCATTTAAATCTGAACAAAAATAATTGTTTACCTTTATCATATTGCAGGTCAGGGTCAAGACTACTTTTTTTTTAAATGTAAAATAATGCATTTCTGAGTTTGTTTTGATAACAGATAATTATATCAACCTCTATTGAAGTAAATATTTAGCCATGTGGCTTTCCATCCAAAGCCTGGAGCAAGGTGCATTATGGTCAATCACATGTTATAGACTACTTTCTCGAAAGTCAAAGATACAGGGTTTCCCATGCGCGCACATATGGATTAGGGGTGTGATATTGTGCTTCTAGGTGTACCAAACGTCACAAAAATAAAATTCCTTTCTATGGACTGTCAGCCAACTGACATGTTTGTATTTTAAGCCACGACAAAGCGCGAGTATTTTTGCACCCCAGTCTCGCTACTCCAGGGAAAGTGGTCTATTGCTTATTTTGTACCATTTCAAACAGACAAGCATATATTGAACACTCAACTGTTGTCTAGCTGAGTAACTAGAGTCAAAGCAGCAATCACTTGAGATGAGACTTCTGGGGTACAAGACACTGATAAACCAATCATAGCTGGTTTGTAATATTGATAGAGAAAAATAGTTTACAAATACCAGTCATGCATACACAAACCTATACACATTAGATATGCACATTATTTTTAAAGTTTGCTTTTAATTAATAATCATAAAAAGCTAGCAATCCATGACACAGTGACAGAAAAGAATTATCATGTTAGTGATAGATGTACAAGAACTGAATATGGTTACCAAAGTGACCATTACCATCTCAAAATCAAACATATGGTATGCATAAAAAATGTAAGAAACACTTGGTTGTCATTGAATAAATGGCAGACTAGTATAAAACATATCTGGTTAAACTGGTTGCTAGCTAGAGCTGAATGAATGAATGCAAAAAGACATTCTCCTTCCCCATTCTGAATTATAAACAACATTTAGTGCAGCATCCCAATTCCACAGTCACCGTAATAAATCACCCAATGTAAATGTCGCACAATGCCAAAATAGAAATAATTTTAATTCATATGTACTAGTATTTTTTTTTTGGTTTTAATTCTGATACTATATAATGCAAACATATTTATTATGTGGATTCTCAGAATTATGAACATCTGTTTTGAAGATGAAGAGCCTTTTACTACAGATGTTAGGTACAATCAAACTAAGCAAGACTACAAACACCTTCAAATATGTACAAATCTCTGCATGATGTAAGCAGTGTTTTT